GGGGTTGCCAGGCTGTGGCTCTGCGGGAGCAATTCCAGGCCTCCGAGAGGCAAGGGACCCCAGGGGCACCCATGGAGGGAGCCCCACACCTGTGCCTGGGACACACAGGACACCCACACCCCCAGCCCCCGCATGTCTGGTTTCTTTCTGGGACGGTCCCGGGAAGGGGGCAGGGAAGCAGGCCTCCTCCAAGCCTGGCTCCTGGCAGCCATGTCCAGAGCTCACAAACCCCATCTGTCCCCAGGGTGACTCACGTTTCCTGTGTTTGGAAGGACACTGACTCCCTAACAACGCTGCCCAGTGCCCAAGCAGCCTGACCCACGGTCATGCGCCTCTCTCGCCACCGCTCCGGGACTGCCTCCGGCCCAGCTGCAGGGCTGTTCCAGGTCATACGAAGAACAGGCCCTCCCTCAGAGCCGGGCCCAGGCACGTGCTGTGTGCGCACTCTGCCCGGGATCCAGCTCCCCACCCCAGGCTGCACGGCCCTGACCCTGGAGGCAGCTGGGCAGAGAGTCTGGGCAACTGGGCACCCCAAAAGGAAAATGGTCATGAGACTTCAGACATGTTGTCTGAATCCAAATGCTGGCCCCTCCGCTCAGCGTCCTTCTTGGGGGCGATTCCAGCCTGGGTCCTTCTCTGCTCGCCATGGCTGCCCACTGGTCCTCAGGGCTCAGAAAGACCAACCCCACACCGCTGACCGACCCTCCCCCGGCCCAGCCTCCACGGCCTTGGTCCCTCTGTGCCAGCCAAGGGTCCAGGCACAGCCATTGCCAGACTCACCGCCAGCGGCCAGGGCACCGTGTAGAACCTCAGGTGCAGCTGGAACAGGTAGAACAGGAAGACAACGATTGTCATCAGCCACAGGAAGACAGCGACAAACATCACCCAGCCATAGGCCGGATACAAGTGGTGCGGCGTGTCGGCAATGAGAGCCCACACCAGCAGCCCCAGCACCTGCAAGGACAAGAGAGGTCTCTCAGGGGCCCCCTGGCCCTGGTCAGACCCAGTGCACCCTCAGTGAGTTGGTCAGTCCGTCAGCAAATGCCTCCTGCCACCTGGCAGGCATTGTGCTGGGGGCCAGCCTCAGCTGAGCTGTGACAGGGCTCTCCCGCGAACGTGGCCCCCCAGGCAGGACTAGACTTCAGGGCTGAGCACTGGCCAGGGTGGCATCATGGTGGCACAGGGCCAGGCCCCTGGCAGAGGCCCGGAAAGGCTGCTGGAAGACTGACCATCCCTGGGGTTAGAAACAGCCCCAGCCCCAGAGATGGGAACAAGAACCGACGTGTCCACCTCCCTGCTAGCCAGCAGATGTGTCCTCAGGGTGATCCCCCCCCCTGGCCCACCTTCTCTGACTCCTTTTGGAAGGTGTCTCCCTCCCCATCAGCCAGGGCAAAGTGGGCCTCAGAGATGCTCAGTGGCAGGTCAAACCAGACTCTTCCAGGGGTTACGAGCATGGAGTCTAGAGCTGACTCCCTGGCTCAAAGTTGGGATCCCCCACCAGTTGGGTGACCTTGGGCAAGCTCTCGACCCCCCTGGGCTTTGTTAGCTCCCGGGAGATGAGGATAATGACCAAAGCGCCTCCTCGGAGCTGCTCTCTGGACCATGAGAGCTCAGGTGCATAAAGCACTCAATTAGAACCAGGCACACACTGAGTGACAGAAGGTTGGCTTTTCGGAGTCCAGAAGAGGCTACGTCCCACCCAGCGGAGACATAGAGCTTGCCTGGCCCTCCTGGCCACCGGGAACTCATCCCAGTGGACAGGCCCTATGCCTCCCCTAGGTGGGGCTCTCTGGGGGCA